GTGTCCCACATAACTCTTAGGTTGTCTTCACTTTTCTTCATTCTTTGTTCTGATTATTCCTCAGAGAAGTATCAAAGGATTTGTTCTCTATTTCACTGATTCTTTATTCCATTGATTCAATTCTACTTCTATGTCCTTCCATTGAGTTATCTATTTCTGATATTCTATTATTAATCTTCTGGGTTTCTAATCGTTGTTTTTATGTGGTTTCTAAGGATCTATTTAGTTTGTCATTTTGTTCTTTTATTGTTATCCTGAATTATTCTAGGGTTTTGTCTGTCTTTTCCTTGATCACTTTAATGAGCCTGAATATGAGTCTTTTCAGTTCTGTAATTTGTAGTTCTATTGCTATTTCTTCCTCAAGAAGGTTTTCTGTTCCTTTATTTTGGTCACTTGTTTGATCCATCATATTGTATTTCTTCATATGATTTTTATTGTCTGCTGTCTCTGAGGTATTATGTTTATTTATTGATTGTATATATATATATATATATATTTTTTTTTTCTTTTTTTCTCTCTCTCTTTTATATCAGGAGTTGAATTTCTTTTCTTTCTCTTTAGAATGTCTTCCTTACTTTGTACTTTTTAAATTGTGTTTTTATGTTACTGGTCTATGTGTGACATTGGTGATGTCAGTTGACTGTGTGTGATTTTCTTTCAGTAGTGGGTATGGGGTGGCATGGCCAGAACAGGTATGGAGAGAGGCCAGGCAGGAATTGGCAGCTGGTGGGATGGCTGAAACAGGTAAGGGGAGAGACCGGGAAGGAAACAGGAGCCAGCAGGGCAGCTGGAATAGATAAGGGCAGTCACCAGGCAGGACATGGGAGCCAGTGGGACAGCCAGAACAGGTAAGGGGAGAGGCCAGGCAGGAAGTATAGTGGTTTGAAACAGTTAAGGGAGACAAATTTATCTGTCAGTTTGTCCTACTGTGGTGGCCTGTGTGTTGCTGTGGGACTGGAAGCTATGTCACCAGTGTTTCAGCTGCTGGCTGCTGAGGCTGAGAAGCCCCAAGGTTGACAAGTAAAATGGCACAGTCCCAATACTACCAAACCACACGGCAGGCCATTAACTTAAGTCCATTGTAAGTCCCAAGGTCGGCAGAGCATAACAAGCTGCTGAGCAATGACATGGCTACATGCAGGGTCCAAGCGTGGCATAGTCTAGAGACCATTCCCAAGGCTTCTCCTTAAATACAGGAAGCAGACCACATCCCAAAGGCAGCTACTCAGCTGGTTGTGGTAGATCCTACCATGGAGTTGATTGCCAGTCTCATCATGGGGAATAACTACCACCAGCTTCCCAGCCACTCAACCAGGCCCAGCCAAGTTGACATGCAAACATAACTACCACAATAATGAAATGTGTAAAGACCTGGAATTGGAAAGCCAAAACGTAAGAACACACTCAAACTTTCAAAACAGGAAGAGCTGAAGAGAAAATTTAAACCTTGAGTTGCAATATTGAAAGGTTCTGTGGGCAATATATTGAATGATGCAGGAAGCATCAAAAGAAGATAGAAGGAATACACAGAGTCACTGCACCAAAAAGAATTGGTTGATATTCATCCATTTCAGGAGGTGGCATAGGATCAAGGTCCAATGAGATTGAAGGAAGAAGTCAAAGCTGCATTGAAGGAATTGGTGAAGAATGAGGCTCCAGGAATAGAGGGAACATCCATTGAGATGTTTCAACAAACAGATGTTGCACTGGAAGTGCTCACTCGGCTATGCCAAGAGATTTGGAAGATCGCTACCTGGCCAGCTGACTGGAAGAGATCCATATTTGTACCCATTCCAAGGAAAGGTGATCCCATAGAATGTGGAAATTATCATACAATATTATATGGAAGTAAAATCTACTGAACATAATTCAAAAACAGTTGCAGCAGAATATGGACAGAGAACATCTAGAACTGCAAGCTGGATTCAGAAGATGACGTGGAATGAGGGATATCATTGCTGATGTCAGATGGATCTTTGCTGAAAGCAAATACCAGAAAGATGTTTACTTGTGCTTTATTGACTATGTATAGGCATTTGATTGTGTGGATCATAACAAATTATGGGTAACACTGAGAAGAATGGGAATCCCAGAACACTTCACTGTGCTCATCAGGAACCTGTACACAGATGAGGAGGCTGTCGTTCAAACAGAACAAGGAGACATTGCATGGTTTAAAATCAGGAAAGGAATGCATCAGGGTTGTATCCTTTCTCCATACTTATTCATTATATATGCTGAGCAAATAATCTGAGAAGCTGGACTATATGAAGAAGAAGGTGGCATCAGGACCGAAGGAAGACTCATCAACAATCTGCAATACACAGACAACACATCTTTGCTTGCTGAAAGTGAGTATGACTTGAAGCACTTGTTGATGAAGATTGAAGACTACAGTCTGCAGTACAGATTTAAAAAAAAAAAAATCACTGCTGTTGAGTCGAATCTGACTCTTAGTGACCCCTCTTTGGGTTTCTGAAGTGGTATCTCTACCGAAGTAGATTGCCCAATCTTCCTTCTGAGGAGTGACTGGTGAGTTTGAACCCCCAGCCTTCTGGTTAGCAGTCAAATTCCTCAGGTACTACACCACCAGAGCTCTTGCAGTATGGATTACACCTCAATAAAAAGAAAACAAAAATCCTCACAACTGGACTAATAAACAGCATCAAGATAAATGGAGAAAAGATTGAAGTTGTCAAAGACTTCATATTACTTGGTTCAATGGTAATGAACCAATGGAAGCAGCAGTAAAGACATCAGAAGATGTATTGCATTGGGCAAATCTGCTGCAAAAGACCTGTTTCAAGTGCTGAAGAGCAAAGATATCTCCTTGAAGACTAAGGTGTGCTTAATCTAAGCCATGGTATTTTCAGTCATCTCTTGTGCATGTGAGAGCTGGACAATGAATCAATGAATAAGGAAGACCGAAGAGTTGATGCTTTTGAGTTATGGTGTTGGTGAAGAATACTGAAAGTACTATGGACTCCTAAAAGAGCTAACAAATCTGTCCTGGAAGAAATGTCGCGGGAGTGCTTCTTGGAAGTGAGAATGGACAGACTTTGTCTCACCTACTTTTGTCATGTTGTAAGAAGGGACCATTCCCTGGAGAAAGATATCATGCTTGGTAAAGTGGAGGGTCAATGAAAAAGGGGAAGGCCCTCAACAAGATGGATTGACATAGTGGCTACAATAATGAGCTCAGGTATAGCAAGGATCATGGGGCTAGCACAGACCCAGGCAATGTTTTGTTCTGCTGTACATAGGGTCGCTGTGAGTTGGAGACAACTCGACGACCACTAACAACAACAACGGCAATGGTGGGTATTGTTGGTCACACTCACATGTGAGTTCTGTGGTTATGTTGGTATGTCTTTCCTTACAGAATTGACTTTAGGTGGGAGAGTAGGTTCTTTCCCTGATAATGGGTGACAAGTGTTGAGTGGCTAAGGCCCTTCCACAGATCTCGTGGGAACATGGGGCCTTTCCAGGTGGATGCTAGCAGTTAGTGTGACATCTGGAGGTCAAGTCAAGACTTCTCCATAGCTGCTGTAAAGGAATGTGAGGGAACCAAATGGAAGGGATAGGCCTTTTGTGCATGCACAAATTAGCATCTCAGTAGGTAGTGGGGGATCAAGGAATTACAGTGCATGTACAATTGGCCTGCAGGACTTATCGGAGTACAGGATGTGTGCCACAGCTGGATGTATGTTGGATGAGGTTGCTAGAATCTCCTGCCCATCATGTGGCAGAGATGTCAATGGTACCTTGTTTTACTCTGGATTTGTCTACACAATCTCTCTCTCCTATTGGGAATTTTGTGAAGTTGCTGTCCTATGCTCCTCATCCAGGAACACTGTTTGCTTTGTCTCAATGGCCAAACTGCCCGGCCAGCTTGCAGGGAAGCTGTGATGCATACATCTCCTCACTTGTGGTTTTCACTTAGTTTCTTCTTCCATTTGGTGTTTGATCTAATTCTTCATCCTTCTGTTTGCTGCTCAGGGTTCCAAGATTATCATCTGTATCAGATTCACTTTGTTTCTCAGGTCTTTCCTGTAGAAAGTCTTTCTTCTTTTGTACTATTTTAATTGTCATTTTATGGTATTGGTCCATGTGTGATTTATTGACATGGAGTGTCTGATTAAGCTACCATTTTGAGCCATCTTTGCACATTGTTTCTTTGGTTGAATATTAGCTACAATAGTTGACTTGTATTTTGCTATAATATTGTACCAAAAATGCCAAGAATTTCTTTTTAAATTCTAGGCATACTAGTTACCTATCATCAGGGAGATAGTTCCTTTATGGCAGTGGGAAACAAAATACATGGTGAAAACACCACATTCATACTTCCATCTCTCACTTATCCTGAAACATGCTCATTATTTGAAAATGGATTCAGGACTATCTTGATTGTTCAAGCAGTTATTATTACTTTTTTAAGTTTTTCCTATAGATGGGGTATAATTTAATTTTTATAATTTAATATACATGTGACACTACTCCAATGTATCTGGTTTGTAATAAACTACTTGGACTACTGCCACACGTCTTCCCTCCACAACAAACTCACTACCTCAATTGACCCTCCCTGACTTTGTCACTCATAAACCACTACCTGGCATCCTTTATTCATTGGGCCCCAACTTGCATCATCCAGTCTCATCATGTTTGAGTTGCTATTTCACCCTGACCTTCCACATATGTTATCTGATGAATTCCTAATTGTCAATCTGGGTACTGAACACACAGCTGAAGCAAATCCCAACTCCCCATCTCTAGTACTCACATAATTATCTTTGATCAAGGTAATCACATCTAACATTGAGCATTCTGTTTTGTTGGCTCTAGTTATGTATCTGGGCATGCCCCTGACTTTCATAGCGGGAATAAAATGGTATCTTCATCTTGGTGGCAAAAAGGTTAATGCTGATGTTCCTAACTGAAAGTTGGAGTGGGGTCAGCAGAAGGCAGCATGTGAAATAAACAACCAATGAACTCACCAGTGATCGTGTAAACAGCAGTGATTGCCAAGAGGATGAAGATTGCCAGGTAAAGGTCCAATCCCAAAGCCAGCTTGATGAATATGGCTCCAGAAAACATGTCTGACTAAAATAGAACAATTGGGATGGAAAAGAAACATGCAAGTCAGGCCTTTTGTTTCTATCCTCCAATGTCCCCCCTCTTTTTTTCTTAGTTGACTGCTACTCATTCTTCAAAACTCATTTGTATGTCCCTGTGGTGGTTATGTTTGTGTGTTAACTTGGCTAGGCCTGGTTGAGTGGCTGGGCAGCTGGATGTAGTATTCCCCATGATGAGACTGGCAATCAACCCCATGGTGGAATCTACTGTGAGCAGCTGAGTAGCTGCCTTTGAGTATGTGGTCTGCTTCCTGTATGTAAGGAGAAGTTTTGGGAATGGTCCCTAGCCTACGGCACGCTTGGACCCTGCATGTGGCCATGTCTTTGTTAAGCAGCCTGCTGTGCTCTGCTGACCTTGGGGCTTACAATGGACTTAAGTTAATGGCCTGCCGTGTGGTTTGGTAACATCGGGACTGTGTCTTTTTACTTGTCAACCTTAGGGCTTCTCAGCCTCAGCAGCCTGCAG